TTCAGACTCGACGAAGATTGCCTCGTCAGCGTCACCAAAATAATTCGTGTAATTAGATCTTAGATATGAAGACCAAGATGGTGTGACCTTCTGTTTGGTCGCAGTCTGCTTTCGCTTTATAGTGTTGGTTCGGCTTTGTTTTCGCAACTTGGCCAGAGCGTCAAAGAAACATTGTGAAACGTACCTAGTCCCGTGTCCTCTGCCATTAACTGGGTACATCCCCAAACGTTTCGCTGGTACTGTATTCGGCATCGACAGTGAGAGGCGCTATCTTAAGTACAGAATAACAACTTATCACTTGTCACTTTGATATGCTGTAATTCTGTGCTCACTGGTAATGCCGGCGAAACGTTTGGGAATGTACCCAGCCAATGGTTCAATGTTGGAAATCATGAATACTATGGCAGAAGACACGGAACTAGGTACGTTCCACGAGATCTCCATGAAGCTCCGACCAAGTTGCTAAAATATGGTCAAACCAACACTGAATTCTCTAAATCAAATTGACTGCTGGTCCATAGGAACCTGTCTTCGTTTTCTGGTGGTATCTACCTCTAAATCTCTTCATCACCCACCTTCAGGCTTACCGTATATGCTTTCGGATAGGTAAAAATGAAGCATAGCTTTACAATACTTAGCTCCACAAATTGCAAGCACAATAGGATTCAGCATCTAGTCATGGGAGTCAAGCGGCAATGCAAACGTTTTGCCACACAATCACACTAGTTAGCGAATCATAGGACAAATATAACTTTGAAAGTACGCCCAGCATCTTCCAAATAAGACTTTTTGAGGGACAAAATGACGTTTGTATGGAAATAAAAAGTGTGTTTAGATTAATCTCCTGAGATAACCTTGTTGTGGATACTTTTATCCCGCATGAAAAAGCATTGTGAAGAAGACTGGCAGGCTCTATCTATATCTAAATATTTTCCATATTGAGTATATAGCATGTAGAATAGAGCCGGCTGGTCTTCTTGACCTAGTATTAACATGATACTTTTTCTACAATAATTTCCAGCTCTGATGATGCTTATTATATAACGAACGAAAACTCATTCCGTTTTCCTTCTAAATGAGGACTGCGTCAACCTGGACGTCCCGCTGCCATGCAACGGGAATCGACCGTCGTATTTTGGTGAGATCACCTAACAGAGCTCTTCATTGTTTACTTTAATTTGAAATGAAAGTCCTTATAACGACATTAATATAAGATCTTAATTATTCTGCAAAAAGACATTTCCAAAGAAATGTTAATTGAAACAAATTCGTGAATTGATCTCATTGGAAATCAAAGGCGGATTGCTTTAGAGGAGTGAAGCCTTTTGGATTGTGCGAAAAAGTCTTCGGCTCACCTCCCTTTGACTCCGATGGCCCCGGGCTCAGATTCCGTCAGAGCAAGGAATCATAATTTTCTAAAAACCAAATTAAAGCAAAGGATTCAATAGGCCCTTTTTTATTTTAGTATTGAAGGCGTTTTTTCGTACGGTATGGTTTCTCATCGCCGATCTCTGTGACATGGCAGACAAAAGGGTTCATCAGACTAGCAGAACGGTAAGCCCAGGACCTGTTCACATGATCTAACAGTCTTCACTCCTCCAAGACAATCCTCTTTTTGTTGCCAAGGCTACTAATTTCTAAAGTCCCTCCAGCCAAATTTTCTTTCGTAATGTAAAGCCCTCTTACTTTAAATCACTAAGGCATTCTTCAAAACTCAGTTTTTTCTTACGTACCGGGATTTCATCTCCGCTATACGGGTTCTATGTGAACGCTCAACATCGATGCCATTGTAGTCTGATGTAAAATGAACTTGTGAGCAAGACTACAGACGCGTATTCGCCAGCGAAGTTGAGCGTTATTTTACATCAATCTCGTCGTCGCAACGTGGTCTTGTTGTCAGGGCGACTTAGTAGAACACACCTAGTCCGAAGTCGTCTGCCCTAGTAGTTGTCATGATTCCCAGCATCAAATAGTGGACTTGGTACATTCTGAGACGTTTCGCCGGCATCGTAGTCGGCATCCTCAGTTAGTTTTGCCATTCTCCGCACCAAGCTACGAACTTGTCAAAGTGACAGGTGTAGTCAATCCCTCGACAAACATTCTGCCGAAAACGATTACAATATCACTTATGTTTCTGTCATGGTCTATCTATCTACTCTTTGCCCTCTTATCCAACTTCTCATTTGTTTACATTCCACTCG